ACCAAGCACTATCTTCTTTGGGAAAGGCAAAAATTCAGCAGCAAAAGAAAGTTATAAAGGGCTTGGAGACAGCTTAGTCAGCAAGTGCTGTGTGAGCTTGAGGACCTGGGTTTAGACTCTACCACTCACATATAAAGCAAGGCAAAGCAGAACATGCTGTAACCCCCAGAGACAGGAGAATCCCTGGCTCTTGTCTGACTCTTAGCCAAGTTGAATCGGCAAGCTCCAGGTTCAATGAGAGATCCTGTCTAATGAAAGAGAGAATGATTGAGAAAGACACCCAATGTCAACCACCTGCCTTCCACACACACCTATACACACCCATATATGCATGCGCGCGCGCACACACACACACACACACACACACACACACACACACACACACACGAGTTCATATGCATCATCTCATTTTGTTGCTACAATAGCTCCATGGAGGGAGGGAGGGTCTTATTATGCAGTCTATCCTGGCCTCACTCACACTCCCCCTGCCTCCGTCACTGGTGCAAGCATAACAGGTGTACACCATGGCCCTTATGTTCCCATGTGTGGTGTTCTAAATAAAAGTGCCCCCCATAGGCTCTTAGGGAGTGGTGCCAATAGGAGGTGTGGCCTTTCTGAGTAGGTGTGGCTTTGTTGAAGGACGTGTGTCAGTAGGAGGTGGACTTTGAGGTCTCAAGCCAGGTCTATTGGCACATAGTTTCTTCACATGACAACGATGGAATAAACCTCCGAAACTGTAAGCTAGCCCAAATTAAATGCTTTCCTTTGTAAGAGCTGTGGTGGTCATGGTGTCTCTTCATGGTAATAGAAACCCTAAGACACCCAGTGACAGGTGAAGAAACACAAAGGCGTGGGAAGCCAAAAATCTTGCCCAGCAGTGAGGAGCTGCTGGAAGTAAAACTTCTGATAGATGTCCCAAAGGGTCCTCTGCTCACTGTTAAAGCGGGGGAGAGGCTTCATCTTGGGGTCCTTGGCTCTGCCACTGTATACTAGGAGGACAGTAAGTCCTAGCAGCCCAAACTCAACAGTGGGAAAGAATCCAAAATTGTCACATGTTCATTTCTAAGACCCAGGTAAGAGCTGATTCTCTGCAAATCAGACTTCCTTCCTTGACAGGCACAGATACTGACATCCATCTTTAAAGAATGTGGTAGAACTATTTTTATAGTAGCTGCGGGCCACTGAAAAAAATGTCACTTTTAAAGTGCTTTTCCCTGAAAATGTCAATCAATGGCAAGCTACAGACAAAGAGTCCTTCCCCACAGCTCTCAGTCAAATCTCCACACTCTTAAGCCAAGGGGAATGAGACATATGGAGTGGGTAGCAATGGACACAAGGCCGGTACCAGCTTTTCACTCATGGATGGGAAAACCAAGGCCCAATGACTATGGTGGCCTGTCCCGGGTGACAGGAAAACAAGGGAGGAATAGAACTGGAATCTTTATATGCTATCACCAAATATAAGAGCAGCTTTCATTGTTTTCAAAAGCTCACCTATCAGCTTGCTATTTGGATTAATAAGCAGACAGTCACAGGATGGGTGAAACTGTCCCAAGCAGTATGTCCTGGTTTTGCACAGGATACATACACAGTACTGACTCCTTAACCCTCAAGGTAGCTGATGGGGCTGGAACAGCCACAGCCCTTGGGCCAACATCCTCTAGGCATCTTTCTATTTCAGTGTGCTGTCAAAATAGTATCATTTCTATGTGTTCCTGGCTGTGAGCATGGCTGGAAAAGACCCACTTGTCCTAGACTATGCCTGTGTTCCAAGAAATTGTCTAAGACTCAACTTGGGCAGCCTCTGTATCACTTTCCCATTCTGGAAATTAGTTATCACAAGTACAAAGAGGTGTTATCCTGGAGTATCTCTCGTTTTTTTTCTTCTATTTCTTTGGTGTAATCATTCTGTAAACTGTGAAATCCCCAATCCTGAAAAAAGTAACATTTTCTGGAAGAAAAAGAGGCAAAACTTTGCAGTGAGATTTGGAGACTGCTGAAGGTGTCTCAGATAATCCTCAGTAATAAATCTAAGTAGGAGCCTGCCATGCATCAGAGGCATGCCATGGACACCGGTGTGACACCTACACAGGCATGCACACTCCCTGTCCTTGTCAAGACAAAACCCATTGGAAGCACATCAAAAAGAACAATTTTGGCTTACTAGGCTAAGTACAAGGATGGGGAGAAGCACAGAGTGGTAGGTGTGGGGTGTGGGATCATCAGAGCGTTGGTGAAGGAAGGCTTCAAGCCAGGAGACATCTAAGAAGGAGAAAAAGCAGAGCTTGAAATGGCGAAGTGGGCTGTGGGTGTGCGGGAGGCAGGAGGGGGTGCAATCGGAAGGGTGGCATTCTAGACACAGGGAATACCATCTGCCAAGCCCAAAGGCAGTTACATGAAGATTATGAGAGGTCCAGAATGGCTGGAATGCCCAGGTGAATTCAAAAGGAAGCGTGGCATGACAAGGTAGAAGAGGCTATAAGGGAAAGTGAATAGAGGTGGGCAGGAAGGAGCAGGTAGGGGTTGAAGGAAAAATCCACAGGAAAGATTCCTAAAACTGGGAGAGGGAAAGTGAGCTCATGAGAACTTTAATAATTTCACATAATGCAGAACCCAGGAAAGCTAGCAAATGTATATGTATTTAAGACTAATTTTCAAAACTACGTAATTATCAGAAGTAACAATGTTACCTAACTATGAGGACATTTCTGTCAGGGTATAGTTTATAAATTAATAGTCAGAGTACATTTTAGATTGAATTTTACATAGTAAGTTCTTTCTCTACACTTTCCCTGTATATAAATTTATACCCTGCAAAACAGAGTGCACTTCACCATAGCAACAGTCTATATCAACTCCTACACAAGTTAGGAAAAGCATATGTAAAAGAAATGAATATTCTGGAACATTCTAAGCTGCCTCCTAGGGGGGAAATCATTCCATTTGCTTTGTAAAGATTTAAATACATGAGTTAATAATTTTTAAAATGCCCCTGCAACTAGAAAGCTGCTTTACTTGTTCAAATCTGACTTATTAACAATATAATACATCCTGGTTTTGTTTTAAAAAGAAGAAAATTAAAATAAAAGAAAAAGAAATAAAAGAGAAATGAACAGACAAAACATCATTGCCAAGGATAACTTTCCTGGGTCAAGTGGATGGGCATGGGCAGTAACAGAACACGTTTCATGAGTGGCTTATAGTTAGACATTAGCCAATCTACTAAATAATAGAATTATATTACTTCCTCTAGAGAAGCTACACTCTACTAATATAGAAACTGACAACTGAGTTCTTATTCTCATATAGGCTTCCCCTTAAAGACAATAAATATTAGTACTGGAACTCATCTGATACATTTCCTAGTAAGAATGAACAAGTTTACAGACATTGTGTCTCTGGTTGCTATGGTCTGTCTGTACCTCTTCTTCCCTCAATGACAGCAGTGAAGGGCTCTGAGGAGGTGATTAACAAACAGGGACTGAGAGGGACCTCCCCCTTCTCACTCCGAGAGGACACAGGGAAAGGTACCATACATAAAAAACAAAACCAGCTCCCACAAGGCACTGACAACTTCATCTTGAATTCAGTCTCCTGAATCGTGGAAGACAGTTTCTGTTCTTTGGAAGCCACCCAGTCTATGGGTCTTTATTGTAACAGTCTGCACAGGTGCAAATACAGATTATAAACTATCAAATCCTGTATGACTTGATATGTAACAGTAAACAGAATTCCTAGCCTTTCACCTCACTCTACACACCCATGGCTGGTCAAACTGACCATATCACACATCCTTGCTTGTGGTCCAACATGGAACATTGCTATTGTCCCAGCTCCATGATAACCTCTCTGGTGGCTCTCTGCAATCAAAACTCTGCCACTGACTTACAAAGCTCTCTAACACTTTGTTTCTAACCACTCTATACAAAGTTTCTACCGTGCAAGGGCAGATATCTTGTTGCATGTTTCCATTATTTCTTCAGGGGCCTCCCCTAGCTGCTTGCCCTCACTGCAGACATCCACAAACCACGCTTACCACTCCTTGAGTTCTCTGATATCTGAGTCACTATCATCTTCCACAACAAATCCTACTGCCATTTTAGAGACTTTCAACAGTCATGTGGACAACTCTCTCTAGCTTTTCTTCCTCAAACTCCTGTTTCTGCCCTGCTACCCACTTCCTAAATCTTGCCATCACCCACAACACCAACACCTCTGAAATCTTGCTTTACTATGGAGGAACTAATTATAGGTAAATTAACAAAGATGCCGGGTCAGTGGTATTTTTTAAGAGAACTCCAACAATCACTTCTAATTCTTTTAGAGCATTTGAAAATAGTGCACACCGATGTTGTAAGCTAATGAAAATCTGAAAAAGCACTGTATTCTTCCAAAATCATTCATGTATTTGTAAATATAAAGTATTTCAATTGGGTTACATAGAAGAAGTAAGATAATCATCTTTAGTTGCTAAATCTTTCCATGTACAGGGAATTTTCCATTGGGAATTGTCAGTATTCAGGCATCTGTACTGGTCTGTCCTTAGGGTTCTGGCAGGATATGCCCTCAGCTGCAGCCATTAAGAGCACCAACTGTGCATATCCACTTTGTTCCCTTTTAACAGAGCCCTGCCTACCTCCCATCCTCCCCCCCCCCTTTTACTCCTCTTTGCTCTCTCCTGCTGCTCCTGTTCCTGGAGGTCAGTCTCCCCCTCCTCTTTTACCTTTATATGACCCCTTTCCCTAATTAAACAACAACAACAACAAAAAAAAAAAAAAAACCCTCTCCTTGAATCCTGTTGCATAGTAGCCACTGCTTTTAAATTACAACAGGAATTACACCAATTCCACAATTGGTAGTAAATTTAAAACTATGTCTGGGGTTGGACCATTTAAAGCTGATGACAAAACCAAATGGCTTATGAAAATATTCATTTGATACTCACAAGCTTGAAATCAATGTCCTTAACCACACTGGTTTTGGTGTCATGTGGTACTTACTGATAAACTCGTACTGTTGGGCACAAACTGATCCTGTTCACCCAGCAGCACATCAATCATAGGATGCCTTCCGTTTTTTATGATGATTTTATTTTCTTCTTGTAGAGTTGGCCTGAAAAAAATAAATTTTATCAACTTGTAGACATAAAAGTAGCTTTTGCAAAGAACCACTGACTAGCTTGACATGGTGATACACCTATAATCTCAGCACTAGGGAGGCAGAGCCAAGGAGCTTTCTGTGAGGTCAGGGCCAGTCTACACACTCTAACACAGCATGAAAAGCCCCAGAACCCAACATGGAAGACAATCAATAGAACCTTAGACTTCAAGAACATATGTTCAGAATAACAGAGCTAAACTAATCAGCAATTAATCAGAAATCAGCAATTGGGAATAACAGTACATTGAAGAACAAGTCTCAGCAAGCCTTACCAAATCTATCTTCATGTGATTTCAGTTTTCATTTATCTATCATTATCTGAGGTCAAGTCAGCACATGCAACATTAAACACTGCTCACATCACTGGTACATCATGTAAAGTCATTTCCAGATTAAATTATCTTATCAGTTTTTACATTTTCTTATATTTATTTAATGTGTATGAATATGTGCCATGTAAGGGCCTACAAATGGTGGGTGCTTGTGAGCAGCCCTATGGGTGCTGGGAATTAAACCCAGGCCCTCTGTAAGAGCACCCTGTGCTCCCAACCACTAAGCCCATCTTACCTATTTTAAATACAGCTTTCTTCTATTTCTCAAACCTTAGAAGTCAGCGCTGAAATTGGCTGGGTGTCTACCTTCCTAGCCTTCAGCTACACAATGATACTCATAGACACATTGAACTGGTTGGTGCTTTATTTGAAAAAAAACAGAGTCCTATTTCAGTACACCAACCCACAACCACGTAACTATTAGCTTATTTAAATAATCACTACACGCAAAATATATATTTTACCACTGACTACCTGGGTCTAATGGGTCCTTATTTTTATTTTTAAAAATCTATTTTAAAGATTACATTACAAAAGTAAGACTAATAGAATAATTTTAGAAATCAACCTCAAAACAATCTTTAATAATAATAATTATTACTATTGTTATTAGTAGTAGTAATAGTGGAACCTTTCTGAGATTGAGGCTATAACCACACTCTACTACTAGTCCATAGTCTAGTAAGCATGACAAACCAAATTTATTCTTGGTCTTCAAGATATACATACACACCAGGAATGGGTAACACGTGATGAATGTGACATTCACTTATGAATACTAAATTCAAAATTTCAAATTACTTCTAGGAGGTGTAGTTCACAGCTCCGGTTCTTCTTGCATTAACAAAAATGGAGTAGTTGGGTGATTTTGGAAATTGCTCAAAGCTTCTAATTTCCTTAAGGAGATAGTTATCTTCATCCATAATATAAAACACTTTCATTTTTAGATTCATAAATACCAATTAGAATAATCAATCAAATGAACCCTTTCAATAAATGCCGTCATGTTTCCTTTCAATTTCCTGCCTGCCCACCTGCAAACTATAGCAAGTAAATTTTGCTGAACAAATATAGAAACATATAAAACCACGTCTTTTAGCAAAACAGGACAATCCAGGTTCTTAACAGCAAATATTAAGTGGCATTGGTCCCCAAGCATGATAACATTTCATTTTATCCTACAAAATTATTTACAATCAATTCTTGACATAATGTTAACAACTATACGCATCAATCTATAACCTGAACGCTCAAAATCCCCAACTGTTTCTACAAGAGATTCCCCACTGTCATCCAAGTGGTGTGCCTTTCTCTTCACATTCACCTCCGGTACATGAGTGGCTGTGAAGTATCTTCTGGTAACTATGCTCCTCTGGCTACTGTGGGTAAACAAGGAGAACTCTTAACACACCCAGGGAAAGTTAGAAGCAGATCACAGCAGTGGTACCTGCACACTTTTCATACCTTCTGGAAAGATGTTTTAGCAGTTTGGAAAAGACAACTAAAAACACAGAAAAAGTTTGCTGTTTCATGGCTATTTAAATCCACTTCAATTTTTTTTTTAACCAAAGAGACTGGTGCAATACACTGTCAAAAGTATGTAAGATTATTCCCCCAAACCCTAGTGGGTTTTTCCTAATACAAAAGACATGATGTATAATTTGGAAATGTTTTAGCATTTGAAATGTTTTCTGACATGCTTATTGATGGATTTGATAATCTGGAACAAGGACAAACAGAAAAGTTGGTTCAGGTGCACACAACAGCTGTCCAGAGGCACCAGATAACTAACATCTCATTGGCAGGCAGGGCCTTGGTAGGACGGAGGGGAAACTGAACTTCCGTGGGACAGCTGTGACCTGGAGAAGGAGCTATGACAAACTGGCATAGGCTCCAGAGTAGAGCTGGGAGGAGCCCAGACATCTCTCTATCACCTTAGTCCTGATCTAGAACCCAATACACTGAAAATGTCCTGAGATGCCTACTGGCAAAATCACTCCAGAATGGGTGCAATACAAAACCATCTCTACAACCAGCAGTCAAGCAGAAATGACAAACAACACAAAGACATCCACCAGCGTTTCAGACAATATCCATCCAGACAATGACTTTAAGTAACTATGCCTCCTTATGTACAGAGAAACTGCACAAAGTAGAAAAGTAACAGGAGGAAAAGCAATCTGTCCATCTTACACACTGATGAAAATCTTAACTTCATCCGATATATGTAGCTTTTAAAAAAAAAAAATGCTGTTGAGCCAGACAATGGTGGCAGATGCCTTTAATCCCAGCATTCAGGAGGCAGAGGCAGGAGGAACTCTGTGAATTCAAGGCCAGCCTGGTCTACAGAGCTCTAGGACAGCTAGGACTACACACAGAAACTTTGTCTCAAAGAAACCAAACCAAAACAAATAAACAAACAAACAAAAAAGCTTTTGAAAGACAACTATATAGAATTAGACCTATTTAATCCTAGCATCCTTTATGAAAAGGAGGATGAGGAGTGCTGGGATGCTCAAGGCCACAGAAGAACAGAGGCAGGGATCCAGCTCTCAATGGGAGGGTCAGGAAAGCTCACAGAAACCAGAACAGAACCCCACCTGCTCAGTCCCTTGCTCAAAAGCAAGCTTTTATAACTGGTTTGGGAAACTGAAGGGAAATCTGCTATAAAGTTTCCAAGAGCAAAGAGGGCCCTCAAACTTCATTTTAAAACTTTATGCAGTGTAACATTCCCTTTTAGAGTTAGTTATGCCAGTCATCTGCATTTGACTCAGTTGTAGAAAATGGAGGAAAGGAGTTGATTTTTCAAATTAAACTATACATGCATAATTATTTGGATTCAACAAGTATAACACATTTGAACAACTGCAATATTTTATGCTAGCAATAATCAAGTTAATTGAATACTCCCATTTTATCTGAAACCATGATAACTGATGGAAATGAAAAACTCTATTACCTGCAGTAATTTCCTTGCTTAGCGACCTTGGCCAGGGAGAAAATGCAGTCAACAGTTGCTAGGTGATTCACAGCCTTACACAAAGTGTGGTAATGTTCTCCAAAATTCCTACAGAAACAGCAACAAGATGAGCGGGCTGACTTCTTGACCCATGACACCTGTGCAACAGTAATCTGTCTATTAGCAATGCAGGCACCAATGCAATAAGCAGGTATACCTAACAATTAAGGGAGAAGGGCAGGGTATTATTGAACTACCTTTCGTGATAAAATAACTAGTTACCGAGTCTCCATCCACTTCGTTTGGGACAATTATATAAACCTAAAACAGCTTTTATGTGATGACATAGACATAAAATATTATTTTATATATATATATATGTATATGTATATGTGTGTGTATATATATATGTATGTGTGTGTGTGTATGTGTAAATATATATATATATATATATATATATATATATATATATATATATGCTGTAGTCACATTTCATCTGACTGTGGCATTTCACTTGAGGAAAAAAATTTCAGTGTAGAATTCAGTTTCAGTCTGCTTCTTTCCACAGCATCAAGAACTACTCTGGTGGGCCAGCTTCCCCAGGCACTCTTCCTTATAGCAACACCCAATCCTGGAGTAACTGTCTCAATGTGTCTCACATGGAACTGGCAGAGTACTGTCTGTCTGTCCGACTGACAGCTTTTGTGGTCGTTTGGATAGGTATAGCCCCCAAAGACTCATGTGTTTGAGTGCTTGGCCCATGGGAGTGGCACTATTAGGAGATATGGCTTGTTGGAGTAGGTGTGGTCTTGGTAGAAGAAGTGCATCAGTGTGGAGGCAGGCTTTGAAGGTTCATAAGTTCAAGCTACCCCCAGTACACAGTTCACTTCTGATGGCCTGAGAAACAAGATGTAGAACTCCCAGGTCCCTGTTTACCATCATGTGTGACTGCATGCTGCCATGTTTCCTGCCACGACAATAATGGACTAAACCTCTGAACTGTAAGCCAGCCCCAATTAAATGTATTCTTTTATGAGAGTTGTGCTCATGGTGTCTCTTCACAGCAATAGAAACTCTAAGACAGTTTTATAGCCCTAATATCTAGTCTACACTCTCAGCACAGAATAGACATTGCAATACAGAGGAGTAAGCACTTCTTCAGCTATCTAAGATTAATACTATGACTTTTATTAAAAGATTTATTCACAAAGTAAATAGAAATGTTTACAGAGTTGGGTGAAACCTTTTACATATATTATTCCATTGCCTCATATTATAGTATGTTTATTCCAATATGTGCAATACTGTACAAACTATAGAATTTTATATATAGTGATAAATGGTGGGTGTTGAAAATGAACATAATTGGCCAGATATGATGGCATATACCAATGATACAGCACTCAGGAAACTGAGGCAGGAAGATCACAAGTTCAAGGTCACCCTCAGCTGCATAGGCATTCATGACCCTGTCTCAAAATAAATAAATGTATAAAACAACCAAAAATACTACAAAAGAACCCAAGACTTCATCTTTAAATGCTCAGAATAAAATATCTTCTAAGTAAAGAGAGAATATGCAACTAAGCTTAAAATTTAGAGTAGGTAGGCACCTGAGAGAAACTGAGGCTTTGCAGGCAATGGCAGACTCTTTGAAGTCACAACATGAGGAAGGGCAATGAAGCTAAGGCTACGAGGGTCCAAGAGAAATGTGAAGGGTATCGCCCCTCCGTGCCCGAATGCAGGAGGGACACCTCTTACCACTGCCTCACCACTCTCACGCAGAGCCTCAGTACCGAAAAAGCAATTCGGAGGGACAAAGCAACCACCCCAGGCTCATATAACTGCCACACTCTTGTTTGTCTGCTTTGCTTTCTGGTTTTAACAGTGCTGGGGTAGAACCCACAGCCTATCCCAAATTCAGCAAACTACCTCTCACAGACCACACCTCCAATTCTAAACTATGACCCCACCTCACAGTGCTATTCTGCAAGGTTCTACTAGCATTGTTGCTATTTCTGTACATAGTTAGGGGGAAAAAAGAAGAGAAGTAAACTGCCTGTCTATTTTCATGTAACTCAGATATCCCTTACACTGCCTGAGGAGGAAGATGGAGAGGGAAAGGTCACACTAAATACCTTTCTTAAGAATGCTTACATAATATAATGTGGATTTCAGAAGTTCTGAGTGTCAGGCTACTTGCAATACTTCCCAGCTTGTAAGGGCATCAGGTTAAATTACTACAAAATTCCTATAATGATCAATTTTTCCTACATGGTTTTATCCTACTTTTAGGGGGAAAAAAAAAACCCACCTCATTTTTTGACTTGTTTCGGAACTCTCTCTGTAGACCGGGCTGGTCTCGAATTCTGAGATCTGTCTGCCTATGCCTCCAGGTGCTAAGATCAAAGGCATGCACCACCACTGCCTGGCTTATTAGTAATATTTTCATGCAACTTATTATTATTTGTAAATTAAGAATTACATTCACAGTATGCTTTATACATATTTATCTGAGTAGACAGGACATATTAATTAATTAGTCTATTTCCCCTGAATTAAAGTTCACCAATGAGTTTGTGAAAATCACAAACATACAGGGGTTATGCCCCTCCATCAGGTGGACCCTGATGGGTCAAACATATGCATGAGTACATGACAGTCCAGCATAATCTGTGCACCAATCCTCCCTCTTACTGTGAGAAACTGACTTCTTAGTGTGCATCTTGTTTTATTCACTTGGAAATTGTGTGCAATGATGCTACTTAATGTCACAGGACTCAGAAAGGAGGAGTAACTGTATCTAAAGTCTCAAGGTCACATGAAAGTCAATGCATATCTCTTCCACTTCAGAGCAGAGTCGGTGGAAATAAACTGGGCTGGGAATGTTAGTAAGGCAGGAAACAGCAAACTACAGACACTACTGTATCCCCAAGAGCTGACATGCAGCAGCACTCCAGTGCCTAACACTGTCAATATGAATGTGTGACTGCCATTCATTCCAGAATGTGAGCTATTCTCTTAAAGACAAGGGCTGGGACTTTCAAAAGAAATTTTGTATCTTAAAAATGAAAAGTATGGCAGATTACTCTAGATTACAGCTGAGTAAAGAAGCATGACCAAATGCAATGTGTAAGAGTTAATTAGATCTTTCCTTTAAAATTGGGACAGGGAGCACTGGGGAACCTCAAATACATTCATTTTCTGAAAGATTTATTTTTACCTTATATGTATATTTGCCTCTCTGTATGTACGTGTGCCACATACATGCATCAAATATATTCTTAAATTAAAGTTAAATTTTCCTAGATGTAATAATGGTGCTAAAATTCCTGGTTAGGGTGTTCCAGTTTTTTTAAAAAAATAAACACCTAGAGGAAAATACACAACATATTAAAAATTCAGGAAATAAGTGAAGATAATAAAATCAAAACAACTAACCCTTACCTACCAAGTGCAGAAAGACAAGGTGACAAGGGTAAATTCCATGGCTCTATCAAGAGACATTAGCCATAAAATACTAATACCGTAACTGTAAAGTATATTGTCTCTCTCATCAGATTACAGTGAGTTTATGCCCCAATAGACTGAAAATAAAATCCAAGAGCACGGTTTCCCACTATTTCCTAGCAGGTCAGGGCAGCAATCTCCGCTAATTTTGGATGGGAAAGAATTTCTGGTCTATTTCTCAGAGCACAGATTGAGAGTATATTGTTCACTGTGAACTTACTCTAGAAAATGGAGCCATTCAGCGCTGCAGTCAAGGACTAGCTGCTCCCGGAGCTGATTCAGACGTCTGTAGTTTTCTACAATGAAAGGAGGATGAAAGCGGCTCACAGCTTTTGTGCTACAAGAGGAAGAAAAAAAACACAACAACAGATAGAAAGTCAAGGTTATAAGAATCGGTGCTGCCATAATTTCAGAAAATTAAAGCAGTTATTATTCACTGATGAGTCTTGAACATAAACAGGTGTAAACAGAGAGCATTCTTTAATTACGGTCCTGAGCTTGACTCTAAACAACAGGACTCTGCTCAGGAAGCTTTTAAAATGTTCTTACAATTACAACTGTATGACAAAGTCAGAGTTGAAACTGGCAAAGGCTTTTTTTTTTTTTTTTCAGTTATGCTAAATAAAAATGCTTGCTTAAAAACAACAGAAGTGAAGTGAATGCAGGGAAAAAAAAGATGTGAGAAAGAAATGTGGACACACATTGGTGGAAGTCATATTTTATACTTTTCTGTTCAGCATAATTCAGTACAGAAAGGAAAATATAATGCATCACAAAGAAGGTCAGTGCAGGAATTCAGAATGTTAAAAAAAGACAGTTCTTCAAGCTCAGTGGCCTTGGATGGGAAGAACTAACACAAGTTCTCCTAGGCTTGAATATAAGCCATCCTCTCCATCAAGAAGGAGTAGACAGTATTTGGGAGCTAGTATCCCCAGTCAGAGATGCTAGGCCAGGCCTTGACCAGGCCACACACTAGCACTGACATCTTGTCCAAATGGAACAGACCTTGTGTGGGCTCCATTATAGCAAGTCCTCTAAGAGTGCTTCTCTCAAAGGCACAGTGCTGAGTTCACACAGTACTTAGCAGGGTACCCTTTACAGGGATCCAAGGAGTGGATGCTACTTCTATTGACAGCTAACAAAGAGAAATGCAGTCTAGAAGAACTCTTCAAGAACCATGCATATGCTAGTGTTTGCTCCCCAAGTCCTACATCACACTGCCATAGTTACCTTTAACTTGCTGTTGGATACTGAAAGTCTAACTGATAATTCTCATCTATTCTTGTATCAAGGCTCTGGCAGCCAGACAACAGACTAAATGGGAACAAACCCTCACTGAGATGCCTTATTTACACATCAGAATTCTATTACTGCATGTTTAGAAGATGTTGGCATAGATTTTTTTTTCCTTGCTTGTTGTTACTCAATTACATGTTCTAGAGTTCTAGGCAACCATTTACCGCAGCTTTTTCTTCTAGAGTTGCTTAGCCAGACACCTCAGTTACTGTTCTACAGAATAATATGGGTATTCGTAATGTCTTTTTATAAGGCACATTTTCATTCATTAGCTGTACTATAGGACAAAAGTCAATACAGGGAAGGATGTTCAAAGGATGGGAAACATCCTCCAAGTCAACACTACTCACATCTACAGTTTCAGTGGCATAAGGGAAAAATAACGTATTTGAATTCAAGAAAGCCATGTTTGTGCTGTCGCCACAGCAAAAGATAATGGTTATATTACTTAATTAACATAAGAAACCATTAACCATTATGTCACCATCTCAAAATTTCCCTCATCCTTAACATAAGAATTCCTTCATAGCACCACCACCAGTCAGAAGTCTCCCTAATATTATCCTGGGCAAATGTTAATATTTTCATCCCCACTCACACAAATGTAGGAAGCACAGTAAGAAGGAAGCAACACACTATCATCAAAAGCACACACCTCTCCTTAAACAAGTCCCCTTCACGGGACCGGTGTTTTCATTTGTATTTATCAGTTCATGATATATGCTATAAAAGGAAGTAACTACTATAACTACATGCTGAGGAAAACCCTGAGAATAAAGAAGCACAAAGCTCGGTGAGGTAGAAAATGAGATTTCAGCTTTAAAAGAAATGTCAGGTACAGCATTCATCAAAAAGCTCAAACCACCAAATTCGTCTTGCAGTTGAAGGTTTCAACTGTATCCTCACAGCCATGGGGCAAAAGAGTAATTGACAAAGGGGGAAAAGTATTAAAATACTTCAAAATACTTTTAAATGAATGACAAAAACAGCTAAAACAATCATCTCTTTGGTTCAAAGTTCACAAGAAAAATCAAAGGAGGAAAAGCACTCTTGCTTTACGAACGTGGCTGGCACTAGACTAGCGTCACTGATACACATGTTATAATACCATGCTAGAAGAAAAAAAAAGCCTTAAGCTTACCTTCCAACCTTCACCCAATCAGCTGGGATGCATGATACAGCTGAGTTCTTTATTTCAATCATAAACTAAAATAAATGCAAATGAATAGTGAGATATTTAAATGGGCAGCCACCCACGGTATATCATAAGGCTTCTTGGAAACTGTGTGTGACAATTTAATAAACATTATTTGGAATGTTCAAAATAAATCCAGTATTATTCTTGGGAGGGTTTTCATGTTTTCAAATAACCTCTTTCATTCAGTGCTAACCATGTATCTTAAGAATTCTGTCACTCAGTAAGATTAAGTTTGATAAAATTATGTGGGGGTGGGCGTGTGAGTGGGTGTCCATGCACTGGTGAGTGAGTGCCCATTCGTACAACTGTGGAGGCCAGAGGAGGATGCTGGTTGGGTGCTCTACCCTATCACACCCTCTGTCCTACTTCCCTGAGACAGTTTTTCTCACTGAACCCGACACTCTTCATTTCAGCTAGACTGGCCAGCGAGCCTCAGGGAGCCTGTTGTCTCTTCCCCTCTACATGTTTGGAACTACCCTCTAGGGGAAAATGGGCTTGCTGTATGGGACACAGCAATGGCTGTCCCTCCTGCAAGAAGCCATCACTTGCCAATCATTCAGTAAGGAGGGATGGGGTCTTATGAGCCACAGCTCCACCCACAGCTGGCTGCTAACAGCCCAGAATATAGCACTTCTGTTCTTTCCATATAGTACTCTATATTCTTTCCACTTCCTCTTCTGCAATATTCCCTGAGCCTTGCCATAAGATGACCTTCATACAGCCAATTGTGCTCCCTCTGTAAGCAAACTTCTCCTCTGACATTGAAGGGACAGGAACCTCACCCAGCCCTCTGCTTTGGCAGCCATGACAGGCTGCAGAAAAGACCCAGCAAGATGTAGTCCTCTGACTCAGCACATGTTGCTGAATTTCTGGCTTCCTGACCATGCCCAACCTCCCAGTCACTAGGAAGTCAGATACCCTCCGAGTGGCAAGGAACTAATTAGAAGTTAGCTGGTGGGCTCTGGATGTGCTTTACAGGAACAGTGGCATAGGAGTGGCAGACAGAGCAAAACAACCGCCCTGGGAGGGCCTATAGGCCATAGCAACCAGTTGACCAATCAACTCAGGACAGGTCGTCCAAGCCCAGAAGTGCACCAATCCTGAGACGGTTGCATATCCCTAGACTCTCCCCTTGTTCTACCCAATAAATTCCCTGCTTCGAGGCTCTGTTAGGTCCTTCTCATTCCACCCACCATGTGGAATGGATAGAGGACCTGAGTTAATGCAGTTAGCTCGTTAAATTATTAAAGACTTTTTGCTTTTGCATCTGAATGGGTCTCTTGGTGATTTTGAGGTTTAGAATTTGGGCACAACTTCTACCACACCTCAGTTGTAGCACTATTGAGGTATGTCCTTTTAGTATGCTCAAATCACATACACACACACAATCTGTGGTTCGTTTAGATATACTTTCAAAAACCTATATTGTATACAATAAGATCTAGAACCTGTTGGATTAATTAGTCTGTGATAATTTCATAAAGTTTTTCATTTGCCTGTTTTATGATATGCACATAACTTTGTATTTGTCATGTCTCTGGATTTATCTTTATACTAAAAGAAATACTATAGTTTTTACATTAATGGTTACTATTTCTTAATTTCCATACCAAGCAAAATTTTAAAACTAATGGTATCTTCAAATATAGAAATTGATTAATACAGTTTCAAATCTCCAATACTCAATTCCAAAACTGAGAACTAAGAGTCTAAAAATGCCCTTGTAGTTATACAAATTAACTGGAAACAAGCCAGATTTAAGATTTATTATTGATGGAAAAATAAAATTATTAATTATACTAAATAATTCTTCAGTTCAAAAATGCTCTGTAAAGACCCATTGGCATTTTATGAAATAATTCTGAGAGAACTATGTCAAAGGCAAATATCAAATTTCAAGGCTGCAGGAAGAAAAGGTCCCGACTCATGGGAGTTGGACAAGGGCAGTCAACATTTTAAAAAGCCCATGAAAACAAGGTGTACCATGAGAAGCACTGTGTAGCTATCAAAGACCCCCTCTAGGGAGCAGCACCCCTCCATCATCACAGCCATGAAGAATGGGAGGTACAGCAGGGGTCGGGAAAGCCCACCTGGACCTCCTGCTGGCTGAGCACCTGTGGTCAGGGACCTGTCCTCAGGCTTTCAATCTAAGTCTTCAGCACAGTCTCATACTGGGCTCCACTGCACTTGCCTTGGGAGGGGCCATCGTCTTTCCAGTTACCCCCTTTCCCAAACATCCTAGGGATGAGCAGGCAAGCCCTTTGCTTGTGAGTTTTGCTGCTAAAGAAAAGCCACTAGAAAAAATAATGCATGTTCTAGAAAGCTCTACAAGTTCTCACAGCAATCTCCTGCTCTGCAGTTCCCAACTCCACCTCCCAGAAGTTAACACAAGAGTTCTATTTTACCTTCAGTCATTCTGGTGCTTCCTCATATTACTCTCCAAGGACCTCCCTGTCTGGGCTAAATGCCAGACATTGTCATTCAAACTATATTACCCAGCCTGGGCTGGCATCATTGCCAGGTTTTGCTGAAAATCACCTTTCCACCCTTTGCCTGTTTTTAGTTGTTGTTTTGTTTTTGATAGATGTGTCTTATTTAGGGTTTCTATTACTGTGATGAAACACCACAACCCAAAAGAAAGTTGTGGAGGAAAGGGTTTATTTGGCTTACAGTTCCACATTGCTGTTCATCACTGAAGGAAACCAGGACAAAAACTCAAACGGAGCAGGATCCCAGAGGCAGGAGCTGGTGCAGAGGCCATGGAGGGGAGCTGCTTACTAACTTGCTTCTCCTGGCTTGCTCAGCCTGCTTTCTTATAGAACCCAGGGCCACCAACCCAGGGATGGCACCACTCACCATGAGCTGGGCTTTCCCTCCCTGATCACTAATTGAGAAAATGCCTTGCAGCTGGATTTCATGGAGGCATTTCCTCAACTGAGTCTCCTTCTCTGAAGACTCTAGCTTGTGTGGAGTTAATACCAGCCAGTATGAGATGACTTCAGGTTGGTCTCAAAATCTTTGAGCAGCCAAGGATAACACTGAACTGTGATCCTCCTGTGTCTACCTCCCAATTGCTAGATCTCCATCATATCATCACCCTGGCAAGGGAAGATGTTGGTTATTCACCCTAACTCTAGGGGCGCTGGCTGTGGTCAGATACTCCCTTTGTAGACTTTGTGTAAGTATATACACAAAGTAAACAAAGTCTGTAAACTTTGTAAACCCTCAAGGCTTGCAGCCAGGCCCTGCCTCCTGACTTCCCAAATGGCTGTGTTTTGGCTGAAATGGCCATACCCAGCCCTGAGGCAGGAGAATGGCCAGGGTCTCTACAAAAAAACCAAAAGGCCACATAATCCTTCCAATCCCAGGACACCCTGGAAAGCTCCCCCTTCCTCTCCCAATAAACTCTATATGAACCCTGTGTTAAGTCAGGTTCCCTGCTGTTTCTCTCCTGAGCACAGGCAGGGACACTCTGGGGGTTTTCCCTCCCAACAAATCTCTTGTGTGAGGTTTGTCATGAAGCACGACTTTGCTACTTCTTGGCTCCCAACCACCAAGATACCCAAGCTGTACAGTGGAGGGGGGGGAGGGGGAGAGCAGAAACAGAGAAAAGGGTTATAAAGAAAAATTGGTAGCTGCAGGGTTGGGGAAGGGGATCCTATGAACTGCAACAGCCTGGGAGTTTAGGCTAGGGTGTGGGTAGAGGGTATACACCATAAGCACCTGTCAATAAGACTCTTCTTGGAAGACAGAAACATATTTCCCAGGTTCCTGTGGAATGATAAGAGATCGCCATCTCTCTACCAAAAATCCTATAGTCCTGTTGAGCTGAGCCAAGACTAATTATGGACCAAGTCAATGGGCCTGTCTTTTTTGGGATGCTTGGGGAGTGTTCCCTTTGGACCTGTGGTGGTTTGAAAGAAAATGGCCCCTAGGAGGCGTGGCCTTGTTGGTGTGTCACTGTGGGGCGAAAGGGCTTTGAGGTCTCTTTTCTCAAGCTTCTCTCAGTGTGACTCAGCTGACTTCCTGAAGCCCTCTCAGCGCCAGCACCTCATCTGCCTGCATGCTGCCATGCTCCCTGTCAGGTCATAATGGACTGAACCTGTGAAACTGTGAGTGAGCCACCCCAATTAAATGTCTTACTTTATGAGAGTTACCATGATCATGGTGTCTCTTCTTAGTTAGAAACCCTAATGAATACAGGATCTAACACATACAAAACATTTATTTGGATAAGCTATGTGCTCTGAATGAACAAATTTGTCCTATAGATTATTCCCAGTATTTTTCCTTTTCCTTTAAGAATAATAATACTATTAATGCTCCCTCAATCTAAGTATCATACCATATCCATATTGGTTAAGGTTAAGTGATAGTTCATTGCTGTCATAAAATATGACCACCATGGTCATTAATTACATAACTTTCTTCTTTCATGACTTTCTTGCAAACCAAATTCTTAAGAAGGCAGCATATAATGAGGTTTAAAAGTACGCTAATGAATATGTAAAACCCAGGAGCAGAGGTGAAAAAGAATGTTGTGAAAACACTAGCTTGATAGTCTGGCACATTTACCTGCCCATTCTTAGTAACATGATTCATATTCTGTGTGGTCTATGTCAACAGGTTTTGTTTTTCGTTTTTTTTTTTTTGTTTGTTTTGTTTTGTTTTTTTTAGTTATCACAAAGGCCATGTATACAGAAATACATAGAAACAGGAAGGTATAAATTTATACAAGAAGGAAATTTTCCTCCCTACCTCATGAATAACACTAGTAAATAATGGTATGATGAAAAGGTATGCTCATGCATTTCAGGTGTAAGTTCCTCTCAATATTCTTACAACACAGGAGTCATGCAACTGATCAAATTGGTATTTGCTTTCCCACCTAACACCTGGAAGCTACTCTTCTACCACATATTGTTAGTAATTATATTAAAATAATTGTGACCACTTGCATTTCACCATGAACAAGAATGGTGGCATAAGGTTAGAAGTAAATTACCAAAGCCCATAGGGGAAGCAAGAGGTATAATCAAATATTCCATATCTGTTTAAATACCCCAAAACAGCTGTACAGAGTTCTGAGTAAAACAAGTGTTGTGAAATGTCTGCTGAGGATAACATCTAGAAGGTGGATGGGCTAAATCAGTGCTTAAAGCTATTAAATGTACATGGTCTGTAGCATCCTGACAAGCCCACTAGTATTCATTATAATTTTGTGTTTCAAATAACTATATAATTGGATAGTGGCAATCTTTCACTAAATTACACAAAGCAGTGCAAATATTAAGACCTATGATTTGAAAATGTTGTAGCCAGGTTGTTTGGGGGGTTCCCTGTAACAAAGCTTTCTCCCCACAAGGAAAAAAAAAATCTATTTTTTAAATCTTAAATAGAATGCTCATCCTGTAGAATTATTCCTGTTTATTAAATTGATATTTTAACAAAGTAAAATTTCTGGAATTCCTACAATTAGAATCTTTGCAGTAAGACAGTAGGAGTTAGTCTCAAGATGCAGAACAGGATTGAATGCTAATACATTTTTAAAGCATTTTTCTCTCTTAATGTTTCTCATTCAGATATTAATACCAACTTTAAAGATGTATATGTCCTTGGGCTGGAGAGATGGCTCAGCAGTTAAGAGCACTAGCTGTTCTCCAGAGGACCCAGGTTCAATTCCTAGCACACCACATGGTAGCTCACAACTGTAACTCCAGTTCCAAGGGATCCAACACCCTTATACAGGTAAACTAATGTACTTGAAATAAAAACAAATAATCATTTAAAAAGGCAAGTATACATCCTAAACCACACTCTAAACAGCAATGTAATTTATGCATGACTACATTAAATGTGCATTTCTACACTTTAAATGATACTTTGGGAGGAAGTACTGTCAGTTAGTCACTGTGATTCAACTGAAGGGACCAGACCCTCACCCAGCCCCCTGCTTTAGCAGCTATGAAAGGCTACAGAAAAGACCCAGCAAGATGTAGACCTCTGACTTATTCCTGACCCTGCCCGGCCTCCTAGTCACTAGGAAGCATGAGGAACCCAGATACCTCCATGTGGCAAGGAACCAATCAGAAGTCAGCTGGCAGACTCTGGATGTGCTTTACAGTAACAGTGACATACAGAGCATAGCAACTGCTCTGGGAGGGCCTATAAGCCATAGCAACCAGTTGACCAATCAATTCAGGACAGGTTGTCCAAGCTTGGAAGTACACCAGTTCTGAGACTGTTGTGGACCCCTAGACACTCCCCTTGCTCTGCCCCAATAAAATCCCTGCCCCTCGGTCCCTCCAGGTCCTCCTCAATCCACCTGCTGTGTCGGATGGACAGAGAAACCAAGTTAATACAGTTAACTCATTAAAATTAAAGACTCTTTGCTTTTGCATCAGAACGGGTCTCTTGGTGATTCTGGGGTTCAGAATTTGGGCACAACACAACCTGTATATGTGGTCTATTTGGCACCATTTCTTCTGTAAGGCAGGAATCCAAGGCTAGCTTCTCTGCCCTGGACTCTAGACCCTGTCAATTATAACCAAGATCTTCCTTGATCCCCCCAGGACCCTCCCTTAAGCTCTCCCAAACATCAACCGCTTCCAGCAAGGGCACACGGTCCTGGACCAACTTTGACAGCTCAGACCCCACCTCCCACTGGTCATGATATCAAATCTGCTTGCTTTTCTGCCATTTTGCTCTTCTCTGACCTTAGCAGTTTGAATACCAATAAATCTACCTCTCTGCCCATGGACAGGTCTAGGTTTTTCTGCACCACTACTGATAACAACCTATACACAGATTTTACTTATATTATTAAATAGCTTTACTCCAAGTAAACGGATATAAAATGAAAATGTTTGACATTACCTCTTGTCCTGATACAGTCACATATTGTAGAGAAGGACGGTTTAGTATTTTTCGTAATTCTTGTAAATGCATTTGGATACTCTGAATAACATCTTGAATTTCATCTTTCCTCTTTTTTATTAAAGGGAAGTCAGAGAGGTCTTTGAATAATTCAGTTTTATCGCCAACTCTAAAATATGAAAAATGCAGATACTTATATTGAAGCATACTCATTAGACCAGTTATCAATTTTGTAGTATGATGAGATACGAACAAACTGAACTGAGGGAAATGCGGTTTTAATTCCACCTCTGCCACTAAATATTTATGGGGACATTCTTTAATGTCCAAGAACTGGCAGTCATTTTTATTTTATTCACAATTTGTATGGTGAAACCAAGAAATAAAGCTGCCCTGTCATCTGCTTATTCAGAAAGTAACAACAGAGGTAAACCCAGCTTCCTGTGAGATACATCATAAAACTACACCCGTAAAAGGACACCTGCAGGTTCTAAATACAAAAACAATTGCCACTGGGTATCTAAAATATGGGGACAAGGGTCATCTGACACCAACTTTGGAGTTAATAAACAGTTACTATCTGGCTTTAGGAGAACTTTATCCTCTATCATCTGATAGCCAGGAAGTACTTTGTCTGTCCTAGGCTGTGAACTGCCTGCATTTAGACAACTATAAATGTTTCCAACTACATAGGAACTCCCACACCAAACGGCAAACACACTGGCTGATGGCCACTGGTGGGAGGAAATGGGAGCCCACACTTACTTGGCAGCCTGTTCATTGAGAATCTGTAAGTAATGTTCCACTGGACTGAGGAGCGCAGAGGTTTCTAAGATGAGTGTTCGCAGTAAGTCTGACTGTACATGGGCGCCAACAGCAGGTGCTAATGCTTGAAGCTCTGACTGTAGCTGACTCAGGCTCTTGACAATCAAGAAGAACTCTTGTGTAGAGCACTGGAAACAGAAATCGTTTTTAATCTAAACAGCATAAAGAGCTGGATATGGTGGCTCCCACCAGTGATCCCAACCTTCAGGAGGCTGCAGTGGGAGGGTCTCCGCAAGTTCAAGGTCAGTGTGATCTACATTACATGGAGTCTAGGCCCGGACTAAAAAGAAAGATAATGGAGGCTGGAGAGATGGCTAAGAGCACTGGTTGCTCTTCCAGAGGACCCAGGTTCAATTCCCATCAACCATATGGCAGCTCACAACTGTCTGTAACTCTGGTTCCAGAGGATCTGACACCTTCACACCAATGAACATAAAATAAATTTCAAGAAATTATAAAAAAGAAAGTTATTACTATAAGCCAGGGTGCAGAAAGAACCACTGATATGGCCACTCTGCACTCCATTTTAATTTGGCCCTTTTAGTTGGTTTACTGAGGACAGGTGACCACACCTGACATTGGGCACTGATTGTTCTAAAGTAGAGAATGTGACCCCAAGAGGCACTCAGGAAAAGGGGAGAGCAGCTCAGCCAAAAAGGGGAGTTTAGGTTTTATAGGGGAGTTTGGGTTTAATAGGGGAGTTTGGGTTTTATAGGGGAGTTTTAGTTGTGCAAGAAAGCATTAAGGACAAAAGATCAGCTGCAGGAAAAGGGAACTGTGGGGGAATCAAAGTTTATAAGGGGTTGGGAAGGCTCTGGCTATTAGGATAGTGGGAGGCTGTGGTCAAGCTGTTCTGCTGGGATACAGGGCCAGCAGACTTCTGACAAGTCCAGAACATCCATAGTTTCCATCTCCAGGAGGGGATGGGTCGCACACAGGTTATCTATCTTGGTGTCCTAAGTGCCTCTATCTTTGGGCCAGGCTAACAGTTGTGAACCCCCAAGTTTAATAACAATAAAACAAACAACTAAAAGTGCAGGGCAGTATTTGTCACTTGTTCAAATGCCAAAGATCTTGTCAATAACCATGTTACACCAGATGTCAAACAGACATATTTCTATACTACTGGTCAGGGCACACTTTTGGAACAGCATGCAGGCATATCCTCACAGCTATTAATAAGGTTCTTAAAGCATGAAGAAACACGTCTGGAAAGCCAGACTTCTAGGCTGAACTTCTTAATAGGGAAGAAATTGTTATTTTCTTTCCCCCGAGATATACATAAGACAGATCGTTTGTGAAGTACTTGTCACAGTCATTATCAGCCTGTTTTGCACAAAAGTAGGGGCAGGGCAAACCAATTTAATAACCAAACAAAAAACAACCAAGTTAAAAATACCACCTATATTAGATCTCGGAGGTACTGGGTACAAGGAGAAATAAACTCAAGAAAACAAGTTAATAAAAATACATATCTTTTGGTTAAGGCAATTAGGCTTCAAAGAACAAGCCAAAGGCACAAGCCACTGCACTGGAAGGGCCAGAGCTTAAGGTCCATGTGCAACAAAAGGCCTGGGCTCAGTCCAGCCTGGCTAGGAAACTATTTCCACACAAGGCTACAAACTCTTCTCTCAACATTGGTGAAACATCCTTATCCTTAAATGGATTTACTAATTTTAACATCTAAGATGGGTTCCTATTTCTAAGACTGTTTTCTAAGACTCAACTTTGAAGTTTTAATATTAAAGAAAATGTTTATTTGATTCCACATTAAGCCCACTTGGGATCTGCCATCACTATCACCATAAAAGCACCTCCATGAACATTCTAAAGCCACCGAGCCTAGGCTGCCCCACAGAATTGCCAAGATCTAGACTGAGGATGTCATTTATCATTGGTGCAAACAGCAGAAGCTTGATGTATTGCAGCAAGGAAAAAAAAAGAAAGGAAAGAAGAAAAAAATCTAAAGGGCTGTGAATAAAACCCAGGCAACTTTAAAACAAAACAAAACTAAACTAGACTAATAAATGGCATGCATTGACGGTGTGATGAAGAGCCAGCTAAGAAATATGCCATGTGAAGCAGTGAGAATTTCTAAGTAGGTCTGTCACCAATTCATTTTTGTTCTTCACTTTTGAAACCAATCTTGAGCCACACACTCCAGTGAAACAGTAGAGCAGCATCAAGGGACAGCTGCCCAGTGAGTCCCAAGCCTAGTGAAACACAATCCGAAATTCCGAAATAGAAGTCACCCTTGCACTGCACATTGACTGCTTTTCGGATGAATGTGATTGTAACTTCTTCTAGAGTTTGGAGACTTGAAGGGATACATAAAGCTTACGAGAGGTAAACATCAAAGTAAAGTTTAAAGACAGGCAGCAAGGCGGCCTAGAAATCACCCCAGCCAGCAGGACGTTGCCACCTCCTGCCATGGACACTTTTGACCTTGCTTTTTTTGATTAACAGCTCAAAGAAAATATGCCCTGCTCTTATTTTCTCTTGAGAGAAAAAGAAAAAACAACTTCTGACATCTGTCAACGAATCCTTTTAAACAGTGAAGGCAAAGTGCCTGGAGATCACCTGACTGGAGAGGGTAACAGCACGGGATGCCAGGCATCCGGCCAAGGATACAAGCTAACACATGGTTTTCTACCTCTCTGCAGCACCAAAGAGCCAAGCACAGAACTTTCCAATATCAACATAGTGTTTATCACTGCCAGCAAAACAACAGCACAGCACAAAATGCTACAGTTGACTCCACTGAGCAAGTCACTCAAGGATCTTCTTCCCAGGATGTGCATTACCAGGCCCGTTTGTACTTTGTTTCTAATTTAACGGAAGCACAGGGTACAATTACATAAGTTCTCTTGGGTACCACCAATATCCTCAAAGGCAGTACTTAGCATTCTGGCACAATTTTCCAGGGAAGACAAGTCTTAAAAAGTAAACATTAATGAAAATTGGTCTGCCTAAACTTTGAGCGTATGAAAATCATTATACCATGAATCAAGCAGATAGTTTATATTTGGCAAAAAAGTAAAATAAATAAAGTTTTCTGGCAAAGAGTCAACCAGGAAAAAAAAAATTGCAATGGCAGTTGAGAAAACCACATCAAACATGGTAGCATCCAAAAGACACAGCAACTAAAACATAGTTAAGGATGCTAGATTTAAGCACAAATTCTGTCATATGTTAGTAAGCTACTAGCCCTTTGTGGTGGTTTGAATGAAAAAACCCCCATAGGCTCATAGGGAGTGGCATTATTAGGGGGTGTGGCCTTGCTGCAGTAGGTGTGTCACCAGAGGGGTCTTTGAAGTTTCAGTTGCTCAGTCCAGATCCAGTGTCACACTTCCAGCTGCCTTCAGATCCAGATGTAGAACTCTCCATTACGTTTCTAGTCCCAGGTCTGCCCATGTGCCACTATGCTTACTGCCATGATAACAATGGCCTAACCCTCTGAACTTTAAGCCAGCCCCAATTAAATGTTTTCCTTGTAAGAGTTGCTGTGGTCATGGTGTCTCTTCACAGCAACAGAAACCCTAACTAAGACACCTTCTTTCAACACCACTGCATTATACAATATGCAATTATAGCACGTCTACACAGCTCACTGTGCATCATTTCCTAGCAGTAAGAAAGTGATATCACATCCCTCTCCTTCAAGGCTCAGGGTCATTTCCGAACAGGAGGCAGAAGGACTAAGAGCCAGAGGCCGTAGGTGAGGACACTGAAACAATGTTTCCCAGACACAACAGAGCAATTCTACAGATGGATTCATTAAAGAGCTAATTGCCCAAAAGCCTAAGGTAGGCTAAGCAACACTGGACAAGAATGTTGACTCACTCTGACATCTGAAGGCTCTCAGCATCCAGGAAGCTACTGTTAAAGAAAAACGAAACAATGTAGCCTCCTAAACTAAGGAGGCACTGATATCAGGAAAGTCCTGACAAGGGAGCATACAGGACAGTGTGATCTCCTAAACTAAGGAATCTCCACCACCACCCCCGCCCCCATGAAGAACAACCATCCTCCTGATACGGTCACACCAACCTCTGCTGCTAATTACAGCTTGGAGATTGCAAGAGGACAAAAGTATAGATAAAATCATAAACCAAGAAATCTCTCTGTCCATAAACCCCCAAACACCATTCACAAGTGCATACATCGTCCCTGTTCCCTCAGAGAGACTGTTACCTCACCAATCACTGTTCTTACTAAAAGATAACCTGCTCCCATGGAAGGACTGTTCATTCTTTATTTCCTCATTGCCTTGACCAAGCCCTACCTACCACATTGCTTGTGACAACATGTACAACATGCACATGTGACAGCAGGTACCTGAGTAAACTCAAGCCAGACAAAAATCCCAGCATAGAAAAGGAAACTGGGCAGGAAGTCATCCAAGTAGTTGAGTAGATAGTGATTACTGCTAGCTGCTAGGAGAGGGAGAGGCCTTTTCTATAAGGATAGGTTGACCGTGTGCCAGGGCATTGCCATATATTCCAGAGTATATGGACAGCTCAAATTGAACTTGATGGGGAGAAACAAAAATATGCAAAGCTGTGTGGGCAGGGAGGGGGTAGGTCTAAGGGTAGATGGGGGAAGAAAGTGAATAAAATCAAAATAGCCATTTTTCTGCCTCTATTTCCAGCAGATCACTTAGATTTCCTCCTACAGCCTCTCACCACCTCATTCCTAGGTCTCAGGCTCCAATTCCCTTGACATTCCCTGGGAAGCCTCCAGAACCTCCACCCTCTCCTGGCCATACCAATAATGGAAGCAGATGGGCAATGTTCAGACCTTTACTCACCCTCCTCTCCTCCACATTCAATCCCAGTCTCTGCTCAGCATTGTAGCAGAGTGCCTGATGTGGCCTCTCCTCTCTCTCTGTCCCTATTCCGAGGGAACTAAGCAGATATTAGTGACACACCCTGCTTTCCCCCCTCAAGTAGACCCCTAAAGCCCCCTTCTAGCCTATCTTCCTTACTAAGCTCCCAATAACTAATAATCATAGTGCCCACATCTAGCAGTCTCAAAAACATTCCCTACCAGACAATCCACAGCAGACACATTCTCCTAAGAGCAAGAGAGGGCAACAGAAACCAAGGAACAAAATAGCAACCCAACAGAGACAAGACCTAGAATTACAACTGACCCAAACCCAGACGCATGGATGACATATAAAAACATAGTAACAGCCAGGACAAAGTCTTGCAACTCCACTACAGTAGGCCTGAGAAATGCTATACAGCTGAAAATTGCCTTTAGGAATATATTAAAGGTCCTAAAAGGGGAAATGAAAAAAAATCCATTAAAAAAATCTATGAAAATAAAAACAGTAGAATGAAATGACAAAAAATAAAACAACAATTCAAGACTTGCAAGTGGAAATAGAATAAATAAGAAAAACCCAAACAGAAGGAAAACTGGAAATTAAAAATTAAGAACTTGAACAGGAACCTCAGAGGTAAATCCCCTTAACAGACTATAAGAGATGGAAAAGAGAATCTCAGACATTGAAAACAAGATAGAAAAAAATGGATACCTCATTCAAAGAAAACTTTAAGTTTAAAGAAATCAAGGCACAAAAATATCTAGGAAATATGAGACACTATGAAAATAACAAATCTGTGAATAACAGGAACAGAGGAAGGAGAAGAAACCCAGATCAAAGGCACAAAATATATTTCCAACAAAATCATTGAAAAAAAATTCCCTAACCTAAAGAAGAAGGTGCCTATGAAGGTACAAGAAACATACAGAACAGGAAATATACTGGACCAGAAAAGGAAGTCTTTTTAGTATATAATAATCAAAACACTAAACATATAAAACAAAGAAAGAATATTAAAAGCACCAAGGGAAAAAGACCAAAATAATAAATAAAGGCAGGCATATTACAATAACACCTGGATTCTCAATGGTGACTCTAAAGTCAGAAGAGTCTGGGCAGATGTTCTCCAAACTCTAAGATGTCAAAGATTGCTGCCAAGACTATTATAATCAGCAAAATTTTCAATCACAATAGAGAAAGAGAGACATTACATGATAAAACCAAATTTAAGCAGTGTTTTAGTATTTATCTACAAATCCATCCCTACAGAAAGCGCTAAGAAGGAAAACTTCAAACTAAAGAGGCTAACCACACCCTTGAAAGTTCATGGAATGAATAATATTAAACCAGAAAATTAAATTGGGGGGGGGGTCCAACACCACAGCAACAAAATAACAGGAGTCAACAAAAATTGCTCATTGATAACTCCCAACATCAATGGTCTCAATCCTCTATGAAAAAGAAAAAGACTAACAGAAAAGATTCAATAACAGAATCCATTTTCCTGCTGCATTCAAGAAACACATCAAAGATAGAAATGACCTCAGGATAAAAGGATGGAAAAAGATATTCCAACCAAATGGACCTAGTAAGGGAGGTGATACATCTATTTTAATATGTGACAAAATAGACTTCAAGCCAAAACTAATCAAAATCGATAGGGAAGGATACTGCATACTCATCAAAGGGCAGATCCACTAAGAGGATAATGGAATTTTTAATATGCACCAAACACAAGGGTACCCAAGTTCATAAAAGAGACACTACCACATTATAAATCATATATTGACCCTCACACCATGATAATGGATGACTTCAATTCCCCATTCTCACCAAAGAAAAGGCTGCCAGACAAAAACTAAACAGAGATATGCTGACTCCATAATCAAAATAGACCTAACAAATATTTACAGAACATTTCACCCAGATACAAAAGAACATACATAGCTTCTGGGGCACAGAGCATGTCTCAGTAGATAAAAGAAAATTGAAATAACACCCTGCATCCTACCTGACCCACCATGGATTAAAGCTGGATATCAACAACAACCAACAACAGAAAGCTTTCAAACTCATGGAAACCGAACAACTCACTATGTAATGGAAAATGGATAAAGAGAGAAATCAAGTAAGAAACGAAAAACTTTCTAGAATTGAATGAAAACACAACATATCCAAACCTATTGAACACAAGGAAAGAGGCAAGTTCATGGCACTAAATATCTACATTTTAAAGAAAGTAGAGAGATCTCATATTGGTAACTTAACAACACACCTGAAAGCTCTAGAACAAAAAAAAAAAAAAAAAGAAATAACACTCAAAAGGATCAGCCAACAAGAAACAATCAAAGTCTTGCTGAAATAAATAAAATAAAAACAAAAAATAATAATAACAACAATAAAAACAATCAACGAAAAAAAGAGCTGGTTCTTTAAGAGAAATAATAAGACTAATAAATCCTTAGCCTATTTTTAAATAAAAGGTGCATAGAGAAGACACAAATTAAAAAAAGAAAGAAAGAAAGAAAAGCTGAAAAGGGCACATAACAAATACTAATGAAATCCATATAATCATAAGGACATACTTTAAAAACCAGTAGCCCCCCAAAATTGGAAAATCTAAAACAAGTGAGCAATTTTCAAGATGTACACCACCTACCAAAGTTAAACCAATATTGGAGAAGCAATTTAAATAAACCTGTAACCCCCAGTGAAATAGAAGCAGTCATTAAAAAATCTCCCAACCAAAAACAGCCCATGATCAGATGGTTTTAAAGCAAAATTCTACCAGATTTTCAAAGAAGAGTTAACACCAATACTCCTCAAATTCTTTCACAGAAGAGAAACAGAAGGAACATTGCCCAGTGTCATCCTAATAACCAAACCATATAAAAATTCAACAAAGAAAGATAATTACAGACCAATTCCCCTTATGAACATAGGGATATGTTCATACTCAAAATACTCAATACAATACTCACAAACTGAATCCAAGAATACATCAAAAGGATCATCCACCATGATAAAGCAGGCTTTATCCCAGAGATGCAGGGATGGTTAAATATATGAAAATAAGTAAATGTAGCCCACCATATAAACAAACTTAAAGAAAAGCACCATCTTCTTACTAGATGTTGAAAAAACAAACCTTTGACAAAATTCAACACCCCTTCATGATCAAAGTCCTGAAGAAATTAGGGATACAAGGATAATACCTCAACATGATAAAGGATATTTACACCAAGGCCACAGCAAATATCAACCTAAATGGACAGAAACACAAAGCATTTTCACTAAAATTAGGCACAAAGTTATCCATTCTCTCCATATGTAATCAATGTAGTACTTAAGGCTTTAGCTGGAGCAGTAAGACGACTGATGGAGATCAAGGAGATACATATTGGAAAGGAAGAAGATATGTATTGGATGGACAAGAGAATCAAACAGGGATTTGGGGAATAGAGTAAGATAATGGAGTGTATGCAAGGAAGGCCAGCTAAAACTAAGGCCATTTGAGGAGTTGTATGAAAACCTAATAGAGTAGAAGCATCTTAAAATATATACATATATGAAGGTGCTCTAAATGAAATCATCAAATATTGAGGGAGGCAGAGTCCCAACTGTCTGTCTCTTGTCAACAAATGAAGTTTCCAGCACAGGTAATGAATGCATTATATCTAATCAAGTTCTCAGCCAAAGTGGTCCCATGGACATACCCAAACAACCCAGGAAACTGCCAAAGCTTTCATTTGCTTTCCATAAACTTATGGTAAGGCCCTACTGCTGAAGACAACACCTGGAAACTCATTGAATATGGAGAAGTCAAACTGGTGCCTTCACCCCCAGGGTTCTGAAACACACTCTGGATGCTACCAAAATAGAAGGGTGACAGCTAGAAACCCTTTGATTTATAATAGTGACCTCCCTGCTAGATACACTGGTGCAACTTTGGATAAAACTTATGTGAGTAACCAACCAATAACTGCTTTTAGTTACTGCTCTCTCTGTACAATGGAACCCATACCCAAATCTGCTTGGGTGACCAAGAACCTGAGAGTAGATAGTCCAGTTACCTAGAGGAAAACCAAATATTCCCATTCTGTTAAAGGAAAGTAGCAATAAAATGACTCTTAATACCACTTGGCCATACTCATATATCCATGACTTATCAGCCATCATCAGAGAAGCAAGCTTCCTCCTGCAGCAGTGGGGAACAGACACAGAAAGCCACAGCCAGGCATTATGCAAAGAGTGAGAAACCTCAGAACACTCAGTCCTAAAAGGGATATCTCCATCAAATCCCTCCCCTCAAGGCTCAGAGAACTCTGTGGAAGAAGAGGCAGAAACCTGTTTGTCACTAATACTCTCACACATCCGACACCATCTTTGCCCTTTGTTTAAGTCAAAGCAGATTTTAAAAATTAAGGCTTTTCTTTTTCAAAGTCACAGATCAAAGTAAGTTTCTCATTTTGAGGATGATCTGAACTTGGAAGATAAAACACAGCATCTTGCATTTTAATAGTAGGACTTCTGTATATGCCACCGGAGTTTCAAAAAATGAGAACACATTTTATGAATGCAAACAATGAAAAACTTAATTTGTACAATTAAAGTTTCCGAGGCTACAGCTGTTTCTCAAGCTATTTACAAGCACTAGTGAGAACCTCATACAATTTTCCTTTGGGACCTAGAATTCTAATATTGAGGAACACTATGAGGCTTGGGAGGTTTGATTTTTATCACTTACTTTCTTATGATAAATGCTACATAGTCCTCTCTCGATGTCAGGTAATTTACGTAGATGATTTTCTATCTGCTCAAATACACTGGATTCTGAATGGAGAACATCAGATATTGCATCGAGTCGGGCATTTATGTCCCTGTGAGAACAGAATAAAAGCAATGATCAGATATGTTAGGAATTTGGAGTATAAACATTGCACATTTTAATGCCACGGATTATTCCACAGTCACTAGCCTGAGGAAGATGCTTTCATTCCATTCTTCCCTAACTCCTTCTATCATTAGGCTCAATACACAGGTACCATATGAGGAAAGACACTAGCTAAGTGTGATGCAGATGTCTCATGAGGCAAATATACAGACTATACTTCCAAGTCTCCTCTAAGATTAGGTATGACCATGTACTCAAGTTCTACTCATTGAAACGAGGATAGGAATGGCATATGTCATCTCTATGACCTGGCTGATAAAAACCCTCCTGTGTAAGCTTTCAAACTACTCCTTCTGTGCTCAAACCACTGCTACAAGCCAGATGTTGTCTCCATCTGCCTAGGTTCATGACTGGAGCAGAACATCTTCTATTTCCACATCTACTACCAAATACACTTCTCATGTAGTTAAACCATTGAGACTGGAATGTGTTTGCTTTAATAGGCCTACCTTGAGCAATGTGATGACTTGGTTTTGGTGGTAGAGGTGTTGAAGGAGCATGTGTTGGCAGAAACAGAGCCTAACCAAAGATGGGCCAGTAGCAATAAAAAAGTGTGGAGACTGTGATATCAGAAGTCACAAGAAACTAGGGTTGCAGGACCTCATCGATGATAACATGCTCTGAGTGATGTAAGTCACTGGAGATGTGTGAAGGTCTTGTCAACTTAAAATGGAGACCTCACTGACTAAATGTACCCTCATTGAACTGTGGCCCTCTGAGTCCCTATCAATCAAAGGCATACACTGGATATAAACGCCGTCGGTGATCCTGAAGACAGTGGTAACTGTGCATGTCTTGTGGATGCAGACTTTCAATAAAATTTAAATGAATAAACCAGTGGATAAAAGAAAGAAGTATTTTAGTGGAAATATGAGCATCAGACATTAAGTAAATATGGTGGGGGACTAGAGCGAGATGGTTGAGTACTTAAGAGCACTTGCTGATCTTGCAGAAGATCTAGGTTCTGTTCCTAGCACCACCCCTCCTAACTTCAGTCCCAGGTGGGGGTCTCTGCACCCAAGGCCAGCAGAGTATCAACCCACATGAGGCAAGAAGGAAGTCCCACTCAACACAACTCAATAGTCAGCGTTGGTTCAAACTTCAAGAGTCTGACACTTTTTTTTTTTTTAAATATTAGGTATACTTACGTTTATTTTATTTTAGGTATATTTAAGTACAGCATAAATTGGAAAAGAAATTGCAGTGATAATTAACTCAATCTCTTGAATACAATAAAGCTTAAGGCATGCCTATATCAAAACTCTTTGTAAAGTACATGTGTCGTCTTTCATAAAGATGGGTTCAATAAACAAACTACATATGACATCTTAAGCATTTGGGGAAGGATCTGGTATGGTCTCAGTCACACAGATAGTGCAAAGGTCACCAGGTTCTAAACCACCTCTGTTCCTATTTGTAAAATACATATGACAACTTCCACAAAGGTGTATTCCATAGACTGACAGGGAAAAAAAAAAAAAATCTGAATACAAGGCTCTGGAAAGAAAGACTGAGATAGACCACACAGATAGTGCAGAGGGACTAACCACATCCATTCCCAGTCTTCTGGGTAGAAAACAGGTTATACATCCCTTCCTTTGAAAAGACAACCCTGCGTGTTCAGTATTCCTGGCTTCCCTAGTGCTTATTTGTGAACACAAGGACTTCTGTGACTTCTACAATCCCAGGGGATCTGATGCCTTCCTCTGATCTCCGCAGGTACCAGGCACACATGTGATACACATATACTCATGTAGATAAAATAAACCTAATAATAATCAGCAGACAGGTTGGTCCATGCTGCTGCCCCACACACTAATGTGAAGGGCACACCTCATGAAACATCTGGCCTGAAGGAGTTTGCAGTTGGTGGATGGACGACAGGTGTTACTCTCATTGTCCTTGCAGTCACCACACTGTGAATCATGCCTGTCCATGGTGCAGTGCCACCACGCTAACATCCCCACAACTTCAGCATCACAGGGTTTCATCCCAGGATGCTCAATAAACAGTTGTTTATTCCAATTCAACTTGATTCCCAAAGCTACATACAAAGTAAATCAAACTGAACAGAAAAAAAAAATTAAAGCTGTTTTGCATAGGACTGTTATGATAAAATAAATCAATGTTTTACTCTAACATTTACCCAAAATGCTACATAAATATGAAGTTTTACTTCAATCAATAACTCATCCCTGCAAAAATGAAAGATGACACCAATTGGATTAGATGGGGCTGATGCTACAGATGGCTTGAGGACAGACAGACCATCTGGGGATGCAGAAAACAACCCACACAGATAGCTTTTATCATGAAATTAAAGGTTTTTTGAATATAGAAAGATAAGAGTAAATGACTTGAATTAAAAAAAAATCTAAGTCAGTTTTATGAATTCTATCAGAAAAAAATATTAATGGACATAAGCCATAAACTCTGTAAGAGACTAGAAATATTACACTACATTGGTTTCAACCTGGCAAGTCACAAAGCAAGCAGCTGTAGTTGGTTGGTTTTATTCTTTGCTCCATTGGATCTTTGGGGGCCCGCCACCCAGCTCCCGAATAAATCACACGGAATCTTATTCTTTCTTATGAATCCCCAACCTTAGCTTGGCTTGTTTCTAGCCAGCTTTTCTTAGATTATCCCCATCTGTCTTTTGCCTCTAGGTTTTTACCTTTTCTTCTGCATATCTGAATCCCACTCTTGCGCCAGGGCTGGCTGGATAAGCTGGTGGTGGGGCCCCTTCTTTTCCTTGTTCCTTGATCTCCCTTCTCCCAAGTTTTTCCTTCGTTTATTCTCTCTGCCTGCCGGCCTGCTCCCCGTCCTTTCCCCCGCCTTGCTCTTGGCCGTTCAGCTCTTTATTAGACCATTAGGTGTTTTAGACAGGCAAAGTATCACAGCTTCACAGAGTTAAACAAATGCAACATAAAAGAATGCAACACACCTTTGCATCATTAAAAAAAATGTTCCACAGCATAAACAAATGTAACACAGCTTAAAATAATATTCTTCAACAAGCAGCTTTTGGTCTAGCCTGGAGTCAACATAGGTCAAAGCATGATGCTCACTATGAATAACTTTGGTATTAGCCTGTTTCAGCTCAGAATTTTGGATCAAGAGGAAAGTGACTTGAGGCTTATCCAGGCTCTGTCATTCATTATTTAGCCTCAACTGGTTTCCCAGCTATAAAACATGAGTAGGATTGGGCCCTAACTTTTAGTGTTATTACAAAAACTCAATTAATACAAGCCAAGTATTTAGGGCAATGCCTATAACACAATAATCAGCCATTAAATACCAACTAATGCTATCATCAGCTCCATTTATTAGATAACATGAAAAATAGCATATAGTTGGGGCTGGAAAGATGGCTCAGCGGGTAAGAGCACTGGATGCTCTTCCAGAGGACCTAAGTTCAATTCCCTTCACCCACATGGTAGCTCACAACTATCTGTAACTCCAATTCCTGGAGATCTGATACCTTCACGCTAATCCACATAAAATAAATTAAAAAACAAATAGCATATAGGTCAAGCGTGGTGACCCACACCTTTAATCCCAACACTTAGGAGGCAGAGGCAGTTGGATCTCTGAGCTTGAGTCCAGCCTGGTCTACATAGTGGGTTCTAGGACAGACAGGGCAACAGAGAGAAACAAAAACAAACAAATAAACAAAAAGAATAGCATGTGGAAGGAAGAAACTACATCCAAAAAGAAAATGTGAAAATAACTATAGACAGACCTTAAGGAATATCTACGGAAATGGCTATTCCCTGAAAAGTAAGTAAATAAGAAGAGCCAGACGGGAAGTCACTGTAACTGAGAACAGCGAGTAGCAGTGATTTGAAATACTGGTCTGAGGTTGGTGAGGAGGTGCATTGAGAAAACACGTTGCTACTAATTACAGATGCCTTTGTGGGCAGGGAGATAGTGTTTACCACAAATTTGTCAACACTGGGTAGCAATTATTCCATGCTTATCTTCTGTATGCAGATTACAATGCCAATGACAAAGAATGACTTCCAAGTTTTTAAAAATAAAACAATTCACATAATCTGGAGGTATTTTTTTTTTTAATTATAAGAAGTTACAGGACCTTCCAAGAAATTATAATAAAGCAGTGAGGGTCGTGGGAATCATGTTAGCTCACTCAACGGGAGAGGTTGGGGAGATATGACAAACAACAGGAAGCAGCACTGTCATACAGATATTGATAAAGATGCCTCAGTCTCCTTTGCCATCATTGTGATGAAATAGCCTGACAAAAGCAACCCAATTCCAGGTGACGGTCCAGCAGTGTGGGGGAATCAAGGTGATTGGACTCCAATCAGCTAGTCACGTCCACAGTCAAGAGCTGAGACAGAAGAAGGGCACGTGTGCTTCTGCTCAGCTCTCTTTCTCCAGTCTTATAACCTAGGGAACGGTGCTACCCACGGTGGCCAGGTTTTCCCACTCCCAAAGGTAACACCCCACAGACATGCCCACAGACCAACCTCACCTAGGCAAGCCATCACCGACATACCTCTTCTCTTCCCAGGTGATTCTAGATTATGTCAGGCCATCTAGGATGGCCCACATTACTGCCCCATTGGTTGTTCCATAGTACACAATCTAAATCATTTCATTCTAGATGCCAAAGAAAATGGCCCTGGGGTCCTGTAAATGACAGATTCCTCATTAGTAACCAAAGGCCAAAGAACTGCTTGTTGGTGTCCCTGGACTCCTTCACACTTAGAGGTGAGCAGAACAGAGCTACTCCTACTGCTGATGGAGCTGGAACCCACTGGTTGCTTCTCATGATGATATCTCTGCAATTTAAGCAGGAGGGTACTGGGGGGAAAACAAGAGGTGAAATACAGACTCATGGCTGGGATATCTGTTTTTGTTGTTTCTGCTTGTTTTTCACTGATAGGTTTGACTAAGTCA